CTACATCTACATCTACATCTACATCTACATCTACATCTACATCTACATCATCTACATGTTGTTTTGGGTGGTAGATATCCAAATTGTTAAAGGAGATACAATTGTTAAAATTTGACATACTGAACACTTGAGATCTATGTGTTTTGTTGTAAGTAAATTATATATTCACTAAAAATATAATAATAATTCCTTAATACTACCAAATATTCAGTTCTGAGCCCCCTAATTGTTTATTTATATGTAAGTGATTTGGGGGTGCTTGGGTGGTTCAGTTGGTCGAGCGTCTGACTTTGTCTCAGGTCATGATCTCGTAGTCTGTGAGTTCAAGCCCCGCATCAGGCTCTGTGCTGACAGCTCAGAGCCTGGAGCCTCCTTCAGATTCTGTGTCTCCTTCTCTCTCTGCCCCCACCCCTCTGCTCTCTGTCTCTGTCTCTGTCTCTGTCTCTCTCTCTCTCTCTCAATAAGTAAATAAATAAACATTTAAAAAGTTTATATGTAAGTGATTTGTTTAAATTGTCTTCTAAACAGGGGTGCCTGGGTGGCTCAGTTGGTTGAGCATCCAACTTCAGCTCAGGTCATGATCTCACAGCTTGTGAGTTCGAGCCCCACGTCAGGCTCTGACAGCTCAGAGCCTGAAGCCTGCTTCAGATTCTGTGCCTCTCTCTCTCTCTGCCCCAGCCCACTCACATTCTGTCTCTGTCTCTCACAAAAATAAGTAAACATTAAATTGGTATTTAAACAAATTCCACACATTGCCCTTAATTGGTATGTCTCTCAAGTCTTTTTTTTTTGCCTCAAAAAAAACCTAACAAAACTGATTTATTGGTAGTGTGTTTTGCACATGCATTTCATTTACTCTGTCTTTAGTACCTTTCTGAGAAATAATTTACGTATATAATAAAATGCAAAGTATTCAGCATATAGCTTGATGATCTTATAATATGTACATGTATTTCCAATTATAAGAGTAATTTAACCACATTGTACAATACATGAAAGTGAGAGAAAATAAAGTAAAAACAACCACAATCACCATTTTGGTGTATGTTATGCGACTGCCTCTTCTTCAGTGAAATAATATATGTAAAATACATTATCTAGTATTAGTGTTTGTATTTGTATTCGTATTCCACAGGCATATAATCCTGAGGAAATGGTCAAATTTGTAGCTACAAATCTTAGTAATACAACCATATTGCATTTTGAAGCCCCAAGCATACCATCTGATTCTACTCTATCATGGTCATACCTAAGACGTAATTAGGAAAAGCATACACATGTGAGCAGGAGCTTTTGTGTACTATCACTTGTCTTCTGAGGGGTTGACTTCTTTCTCTAGGGTATATGCAAACCTGCTCAAATTTTCCTGAGGATTGCAAAAATCTTTGTGTTGGTTTCACGGGGAAAGATACTGAATTATTCCACACACAGATCCATACTCACTTTCCAGTAATTTTCCAGTTAACAGAAGGATTGTACAGGTCTCTCCTTTGACATTTTCAGGTTGTAAACTGAGTATGTTTTCTTGAAAATGAAGTCATGTCCCAGCATATGTTTTGATCTACTCTTGTTGCAAGCTGACTTACTCCATGGGAGGGTTTTTTGAAAACAGTTTCCATGTACCACTTGAGGCATTGATCTTTCTGCAATCTCATTAACGCCCATGTAAATGCCAGGTCTTGCTGAGGAAGAAGAAACTATGTTAAATAATGGGAACCTTGAGGTTTGGGTATTACTTTTACAAGCAGCAATTTTTCCTGGTTTGGAAAAGGTCAGAGAATTTCTAAGTGTGCTCTTGTGGGTGGGGTGGGTTAGGACACTGCTGTTCCTTTTCCTGAAATGTAATGAGATGCAATTGATCTGTCAACAAAAATGACTTTCAGAGGCTACAAATACAATAAAATCAAATCAACACAAACCAGATTATCCTAAAGTGACTTTTGAATAAAAGTGGTTATCCTACTTTCTAAATAGCTTTGAAAATAATACCAAAAGGATGAAAACACAATCAAAGGTAACTTAATGTTCTTAAAGTTTATGAGAGCCTTTTCAAAAAATGGTGCAGGAGCAATTGGACATCCATCCATCCATCCATCCAACTGGACAAAACCTTGACTTAAACCTTACACCTTATGTAAAATTTAACTTAAAATTAATCACAGACTCAAATATAAAATATAAAACTACAAAAGTTTTAGGAAAAAACATAGGAGAAATATTCAGAATTTAGAGCTAAATGAAAACTTCCTTTCAGATGTGATACCAAAAGCATGATCCATAAAAGGAAAAATGTGATAAGTTGGACCTCATCAAAATTAAAACAAAATTAAAATTCTGTGGGGTGCCTGGCTGGCACCAGTAGAGCATGCAACTCTTGACTTTGGGGCTGTGAGTTCAAGACCCATGTGTGGTATGGAGTTTACTTAAAATAAAAAATTTTTTTAGAAATTAAAACTTTTCCTCCATGAAAGGTCTTGTGAAGAGGATGGAAAGCCAAGTTACAGACTGAAAGGAAATATTTGTGAATTACATATTCAACATAAGACCCTGTATCTAGAATATATAAAGAACTTTTAAAACCCAACGGTAAAAAAAAAAAAAAAATCTAACTGGAAAAATGGACAAAAGACGTGAACACACATTTCATTGAAGAAGATATACAAATGGCAAATAGACAAATGAAAAGATGCCCAACATCAATAGCTATTAGGGAGGTGTACGTTAAAACCACAAGAAGATATCGCTATACACCCATTAGAAATAAAAGCTAAAATAAAAGATATTGCTAACACTAAATACTAGAAAAGATACAGAGAAACTATCACTCATTGCTCATGGGAAAGTAATATGGTACAGCCACTTTAGAAAATAGTTTGTTAATCTCTTACAAAAATTAAAGAAGCGCTTAACAATTCTTGGGCATTCCAGAGAAGTGAAAAGTTATGTCAACACAAAAACTTGCACACAAATGTTAATAGCAGCTTTATTCATAATAATCCTAAACTGGATGTCCTTCAACAGTTGAATGGTTAAATAGAATATCATAAAAGGAACAAACTAATGATATATACACAGCTTGGATGGATCTCAAGGAAATTATTGTGTTTAAAAGATGCCATTATCCAAAGTAACATACTATATAATTCCAATTATGTAACATGTTTAAAATAACAATATAGAGGATGAACAGATGGTTGCTAGGGTTCACAATGAGACTAAGGGTTGGGTATGGCTATAAAAGGGTAGCATAGGGAGGCTTGTGGTGATGGAATTGTTCCGTTTCGATTCTGGTGGTGGTTAGATGAGTCCATGTCTAACTGGCAATATCTGAATAAGCCCTATGGATTGTACTAATGTCACTTTCCTGATTTAATATTTTACAATAGTTATGCAAGATGCTGCCTTTGGGGGAAACTAAACAAAGGACACGTAGGACTTTTGTATACTTTTTTTGTGAAAACTTGTTGTTAATCTATAATTATTTCAAAATAAGAAGTTAAAAAAAGTTATGGGTGCTAAAGCCATGCGTTTATTGAGAAGTCTGGGTGGCAAAAGACCATTGTATTAGTTTGTCCCACATCCTTCTTCTGCCTTCCCAAAGAATTGGTGGGTCTAGGTCTTGAAAGTTTCATGGAAGAAAATGAATTCTCCTTTTTTTAAAAAAAAATGTCCGTTCTTCCCATTCTCAACATTGCCACCCTTCATTGTGAGTTTTTTTTAAAAATGGAACAAAACTTTAGTTTTCAAAACCCTCTCTTCTATTTGAAGACATCTTTTCCTCCTCTATTTGTTTATCATCACCAACACAGTAAAACTTTGTTGTGCACCTATTTTGTGCCAGTCACTACTGAAATTTTTAGAAACCCAACTTAAACAAAATAAAAATGGAAAATTTTGATTTTCCTAATTCTGAACTCCAAGGGATGGACCTGGCTTCAGGTACAACTGAATGCCAGCATGTGTAACAATTCAGTCTCTTCTCTTTTTTTTTCTCTCTCCATTTCTCATCACTACTTGGTATCATTCTAAGATAGCCTCTCTCCATGTAACTCACATGCTCTTTATATGTCAGACTCACAGAAAAAGAGGAAGCCTTTGCCATAGACCCTGTGCTAATCCAGGGATTGACCCTTGAATTGTGTGAGATTTTCACAGAAGAGGGAAAGGTTGGTTTTTCAAAGGAGGGGATGTTGTGCAGGCAAAAAAATTCTACACTCTTACGAATAATAAAAACTCGACCTTTCAAAGGTCAGTTGTTATCCCAGGTCTTCCAGCCAGCAGGTGGTGCTGCCGTGACTCAAAGCCAGTTTGTCCACTTCACTGCTCGAGCTCTCAGTCCTGAGATCATGCTGCCTCCAAGAATTCTTGCTCCCCTGGTTAGGTAATTCCGGTTCCAAACAAGATTTCTACATTTATTTTTATTTTCTACCATGTTTATTGAATTTTTTTTTAAATTCTAGGTTCTGAAGTCTCTCAAACTGAATAGAACAGAATAGGGAATAGAACCCAGGATGAGGGGCGCCTGGGTGGCGCAGTCGGTTAAGCGTCCGACTTCAGCTCAGGTCACGATCTCGCGGTCCGGGAGTTCGAGCCCCGCGTCAGGCTCTGGGCTGATGGCTCAGAGCCTGGAGCCTGTTTCCGATTCTGTGTCTCCCTCTCTCTGACCCTCCCCCGTTCATGCTCTGTCTCTCTCTGTCCCAAAAATAAATAAACGTTGAAAAAAAAAAAGAAAAAAAGAACCCAGGATGATTCTAAACAATGCTTTATACAGTGCAAGATCTCGTCATCATTTCCATATAAGGTAAGGGTGTATCACCATTTATATAGTAAATATATGCTTAAAGTTGTATAATATTATAAATAAAAGTTTTATAAATCAGATTATTTCCTTTATTCATTTATATATATTTTTAGTGCCCACTATGTGCCAAGCACTCTTAACAACACCAAGAACTAGAGACAATAGAACAATATGAAAGTGAATATAAAATAAGTGTTCTTCAAATGATAAAGAAGGTTAAAAATCCTGACTTGGAACTCTCTTTCTTATAAAGGGAGGTAACTGTAATCAAACCAACAACTATGCTAACAGATTATCTAGTATGGTCTATCAGGTGGTAGCATGGTAGTAAGTGCTAAGGAGAAAAAGTAAAGCTGTGTCAAGGAGATAGGAAGTGCTGAGAGGAAGAAGAGTGCTATTTATTATCAAGTGATCAGGGAAGGAAGACATCATCAATAAGGCAGCATCTTACCTGCCTCCAATGCTTTGCCCAGTATAGAATTAATGCTGTGGTAGGACAGGACAGGAGTTGGAGGCAAGTCCTTGATATATTTTAAGAGAAAGAAAGTACAAGGGGATAGAAGGGTGAGAAAAAGAAGTTCAAGTAGGTTTTAATTGACCAGTGACAATTGCCACAAATCAACCGTTGGCAACTGAGCCAACAGACATTAAACATATAGATGTCATGACAGAGAATACCAGGGGTGACCTGCTTGGAAACCTACTCAGTTAAGGTAGTGATTGCCTTACCTTTATTTTTCAGTTTTCTCTAAGAAGCAAATATATTATCTTGTCTACTGCTTTGTCCCTGTAAGCTGTTTTAAAATTCTTAAATTAGGGTTGAAACTCAGGAAGATTGAACATAGCTTCTATCTGAAATCGTATTAATGGGTGACAATATAGAAAAAGGACCCATGACTAGTTTTTGAGAAAAAGGGGATTTGATTACAAATGAACAAAGATGCGACATTGGCTAATTTTATTCTTTTCAGAAATGTCTTAAGATAATATCAACTAGTATTTAATGTAGAGCAGTATGATATACATATATATACAACTTTCAGCATTTCATATGTGCATGGCCCACTTAAAAATCAGAGCTAAAATTATTAGAGACACTACAGATAAAACAAGTAGTGATTACCCCTTTATGATACTGAAAGGTCACTTATTTTTATATTCAGAAACTCACTCCAGGTCTCTTATGATTATTTTAACATTTTTAAAAGATTAAATTATACCATTTTTCCCTCTTTATTTCTTTCAATTATCTTTGACCAAATGCAATAAGATTTTTTATTTGAACATGCCTATGTAAGGAAATTGTGTATCTTTTCATAAAAGCCAGGTATCTTTAGAAAATACAATAATGGTTTGATTCATTTTTAAATAGATTGGAAACCAATCCAGTGATTCAAAAATGGTTATACAATTTGCTATGTAGAAATAATAAAATTTACTTTATCTGCCCTTTAATTTTTATAGCTATCATTTAATTTTAGGTTCTGTTTTTACAAAACCTCATATATCTGGAAGTGTTTGTTTTTCTGCCAGCTTTGCCCTGATGTGATTCATAAATATGCCAAGAAAATCTAATAAATCTTTCATTAGTACGTATTCTTATTTTAATTGCAACTTAAAGAACAAAGAAAAGATTCTGCCTTCAACTGATTGAAATTTTTGTATCATCATGTTTCAAATTACCAATAACAGTGCTGCTTTTCTGTAATGGCTTTACCTTCAGAACATCTATCATGTGAAAAATCTAGCCTGGTGGGCATTGATGTAAGTGCAAAAAGTTATTGACTTTTGCCTTTTAAAAAATTCTCTTATTACTTTTCTTGAAAGGAATTTATCTTTAAAGGCTTTAAGATAAACCTGTGCTGCTTTCAGTCTGCATGTCAACCTTCCCTGGACTGTGCTGAGAGAATTCACAGACAATATTTCCACCCACAAGTGCCTCCAGACTTCAAGAGATTGAAGAGATGAAGCTTAGCGCCTTTTGCAAAACAAAACAAAACAACTTTAGATCAATAAAACCCCAAAACATTAGCAAGAATGTTGGACATACAAAATTTTTATTGGCCATCAGTCCACATCACAGTCACCGTGGGCATTAGAAAATACCCTTAATGGGAAGGACTTTTAATAATGTTGCTTATCATTCCTGAAACTGCTCAAAATTAATTTTATCAAGTAATTAGAGAAATAAGAAAAGCTTCCTTCTCTTATAAAAGATGTTGTATTTCTTAAAATTATGTGAGCTGCTGTGTCATTATCAAGGCAGTTAATTATCCTACAACAGAAATTCTTAAGAAATGTAGATATACTTGGTCTCTGATCCTTTATTTCTTATATTCATTGTTCTTCTGTTGTCTTCTAGAAGAGTTTTTCCTAGAGTGGTTCCTCAGAGCAACATGGTTCATCCAAAAGTCCTTCTGAGTCAAGAGATTTTCCTGGAGGCAGAGAGGTTGATATCTACATAATTTGAAGAGATAGCTGGGTAGAGGAATAATTAGGATTATTGGAGTTACTCTAAAACTTGTGAAATATTAGTGGTCAAAGGGAAGACAAACTTGGTTATAAAATGGGAATTTGATCCAGATGCCAAAAATGTTTGTGGAGAGAGCTGAAAGTTATCCTTGTCACTAAATAATAGATACTATCTTCTGAACCAAAAGACCCACAGTCATTTGGTCACTTTTCTGACACAAGTAGCCATCTCCTCTTGAGCCTCAGTCTGCAGCACTACAACTGGCTTCTACCCTGAATCTTACTCGGAGACCATAGGCTGAATTGGGTCTTTGGAGTCGTTGGCTTTTTTTTTCTTAATTTTTTATTTTATTTTTTTAGTGAACTTATCTTTTCACCTTTTAAAATTAATTAATTAATTAGTTAATTAATTAATTATTTTTAAGTCAGCTCTAATGCCCAACATGGGGCTTGAACTCACCACCCCAAGATCAAGAGTCGCATGCTTTACTGACTGAGCCAGCCAGGTGATCCAGGAATGGTTGGCTTTCAACTTCTATAACCTCAGTGGAACTTTGACTCTCGTGGTTTTAGAAACCTTTAAGCAAAACTCTTCTCTACAATTCAAATTTAAAATTGGGATGGTATTTCTAAAAAGTTCATCCCAATGAGCATAGGCAGTAAATAACAGGAGGTAAAGATGTATGACTGGATGCAGGTGGTCTTAGAAAAGACAAAACAGGACAGAGACTTCTCAGCATTTTGTGAGTCTGTAACTCTTACAGCTGACACTGGATGAATGAATGAATGAGCTCACTGAATGAATGAATGAATGAATGAATGAATGAATGAGCATCCTGTAAAGCATGTAGACATAATGGGTTATCATTATTTCACAAATAGTATCCACTTTCTATGTTTTAGAAAATGATGATATTCATAGTTAACAATTATATCAAAGTGACCATAAAGACCAAGGTTCTCCATCTGGGTGTAATGATGTACTTTCTGACCAGAAAAAAAGTAAAGCTAGTGACTATAGCATAGTCACTGATGCGACATGGCTTAGGTGAGTGTCTTCACAAAGCGGGAGAAGAGGACTTCATAGTTGACAAGAACATCCAGGAATTAAATAGCAAAACTGGGATATTTCATGCCAAAAAGAGATAAAATTTCCCTGTGCCAAATTGTAAAGATTGCCACCATGTAGTCCAACAGGTCACCGTCATCATATCTGACCTGGACTTCTTTCTTGTTTGAAAATTGAGATATAATTCACATACCATAAAATTAATCCTTTTAAAGTAAGGAGTTCAGTGGTTTTTATTATTTACAAGATTTTGCAACCATCACAAATGTCTAATTCCAGAACATTTTCATCACCCTGAAACACAACCTCCTTACTTATTAGCCATCACTCCTGTCTCTCCCCAGGCCCTGGAAACCACTCGTCTATTTTCTGTCTCTATGGAGTTGCCTCATCCAGTATGTAGCCTTTTGTGACAGGCTTGTTTGATGTAGCAAAACGTTTTCAAGGCTCATCCAGGTTGTGGTAAGTATCAGTCCTTCATCCCTTGTTATGGCTCTGGTGTAGACTTCTGCATGTCCTCCCACCTGGTCTCCCTGCATCTACTAGGGTCCCCGAGAGCCTGCTCACTATGGAAGCCAGAATAATCTTTTTTCAAATGTAAATCACATCACCTTACTTCTTTACTCAAAATCCTCCACAGGCTTTTCATTTTACTTAGAGAAAAATTTCATCTCCTTGCCATGGCCTCTAAGAGCCTTCAATGATCAGGATTGTACCCTGTCTACTTCTCTGACCTCAACTTCCCACACTGCAGTCACCCTGTGCCAATTACTTCTGCTCCTTTAATTTTCCTGGCTTGTTTCTGCCACAGGACCTTTGCACTTGATGATCCCTTTGCCTGGGGCTCTTCTCTCATAGTTCTTCCCATGACCATGACCATGACCATGACCAGTTTCTTCTCATCTTTAAGGCCTCCTATAGCATCTCCTCAGAGAGGCAAGCCTAGATAAACCTGTCTCAAGTGTCGTTTCCCCAACTCCCAGTCACTTTCTATTATTGCATTGCCCTGTTTTAATTTCTTTATAGCATTTATTACTCTCTGAAATTGTTTTGTTTTACTGATCATTATCTGCATCTCCTTGAAAATCTGTCAACTCCATGAAGCCAGAGGCTAACTGACTTGGTCACTGCTGTATCCCAAGCTTCTACAATGGAGCCTAGAAGGTGCTCAATTAATATTTGAAGGATTGCATGACTATCTTGCCTAGAACTCCTAAGTCTTCTAGATCTTGCCCCTATTCTCAATTCCTAAAACTTGCTCTCTTCACCTATTACTAGACTTTGCTATTGCCACCTACTGCTTGACGGATTTCTCTCTGTGGTTGACTCTTTCATTAACTGACATTCAACCCTTCCTTAATGTCCTTGATGACAACTCTTCCAGACATCTCTATCACAGGCTAGCAGGTCTTGTTAATCTGCAGGTTCGTGATCAAACTGAGCCTTCATTCCTATAGGTTGTAGGCAAAAAAACAAAGTTCAGCTGCTCATTTGCAGTCAAGAATGCAAGAGATAATGGGTGAGAGGAATCAGCATGGTACACAGAATCAAACTTTCAGTCTTGAACAGAGAAAGTAGGAATGCTTTAGATGCTGTATGTACTACAGGTGGTGATATATGCTGATGTATGAGCTCAGTTTAAATGAATATGAACTTCTAGGTACAGATTGGAATTCAGTTTGTAACTGAATTGTTCAGCCTCCCCTGCAGAGATCTGGAATCTAACTTCTTTGAAATACTTGGATGAAAGGAGACCTTTGGAATCAGTTTCATTTTATTTAGTTAATTGTGGAATCCCCAATCTTTGCTCCTGGTTAAATGAAGTGCCTATCTCCCCACATTCTCCCATCCATCTTCTCCTATCATCCAAGTCATATAATGCCTGACCATTAGGGTGCACATCTTTCCTGAAACATTTTTTCAAAAATAACTCCTATACAGAGAGTAAAGGACAAGCCACAAATAAAGAGAAAATATTTGCCAAACATTTAACCAACGAAAGTTCTAGAATACATAAAGCATTCCTATAATGGATAATAAAAAAAAAAAAAACTAACAACTCAGGAAAAATGAGAAAAAGAGACAAATGGGTATTTCACTAAAAACAATAATGGTCAATACATTTGTGTAAAGATGCTCTCATTAGTACTGGAAATTGTAAATTAAATCCACAATGAGATGCCACGCCTACCAGATTAGCAAAGCTTTTTGCAAGGAAGTACAGCAATGGAAACTTCATGCACTGCTGGTGGAATATAAATGGATTTAACACTTTGGAAAACAATTTAAAGTAGAGTTTAACTAGATTTTCTCCCCTGCTGACTCTACTAAGTGTATACCTCAGAAAACTCTTGTCAACAAGGGACATGTACAAGAACATTCAGAGCAGCTGGGTTCATGCAGAAAAACACTTATAATGCATGAGTTGTTCCTTTACTGATCTGCAGGGGGGTATAAGAAACATTGAGCCCACTATTTTCAGGCATCTCTGTTCTCAATGACATCTCACCCCATACAGGCTGCTGAGACCAGAGATTTTTCAGTGTGCCTCCAGGAAACACAAGGAAGACCATGGAGAATCAGAGCCACCCCTATCGGCCTACATCCTCCGTAACTACCTTTTCACTACTTTGGGGATAAATCAAAGTATGAGCAATCTTGAATCAAATCTATTCTCATCAATCCTTGAATCTGAACCAGACTCTAATCTGACCTTGCTCACATGCTACCTGAATATAAAGAACTGAAAAAAGGTAGTGGTTATTTTGTTTCCACTTCACCTGTCAGAATTGCAGTCCTGCCTCACTGTTTCTGACTATCCCAGTCTGCCTGGTAATACAGCTATTTGAATAGGAGTTGGGGTCCTTTACCAAGTTCTCATTTTCTTCAGGCAAGTTCCACCTGTTTCTAAATGTTGTACTCTTTAAGGCCATGCCTTGTCTATAGCGGGTTGCACAGTGCGTGTCTAATACATTGAAGTCCCCGACTTAGAGGAAGAAACATCTTCACAGAGCAGCCTCCCTCACAGGCTGGTATTCTTGGGCAGACTGTTTAATATCTCCGAGCATCAGCAAATGAGAGTCATAATACTTTTATATCCCAGAGATGCTATGAGTGTTAAATTAAACAGCATGGAAAGATGTCCCTTAAGAAATGTTCATGTACTTCCTTTCTACCCTTCCCTCTGTGTTCCTTTCAAAAGGACCTCAAAAGGAGGCCAAATGAGATCAGTCTTTCCTCTCTCTGTAGAAGGAAATTAAAGCAGTGTCAGCCAGTGTCCTGGAGGATGCTTCCTGGACTTTTCCACTTAGGAAGTAAAGGAAAGTATATACGGAGGGGCATAGTAGCAGAGGTCCAATCACCCTAGAAACCAAAAAGCAACCGCTAGGGAGTGACAGCAGGAAAAATGCATAGAAAAAGGAGTAACCTTAGGCTTGGAAATCCATAGGACAGCCAGAGACCTTCCAGACCTACTGGAAATGTATGTGTGGTCAAATCCGAGCAATCCTTTCTTCTTGATCTTCTTTAACAGGTAACTGCATTTCCCTAAATGGTCTCAGACCTCGCAGGAGTTTGGGGAACGCCAACATCACCACTGAACCAGTACTGCTCTTTATGCACGGGGACATTGTGCTGGAAGCTGGGGATGTCCTAGTGAGCAGGACAGACGTGTTTCTACAGAAATGGCCCCTGGGGCTCTGGGAAAGGAGGCACGCACAGTCACAGTCGATTGGGGCAGAGAAGGCTTCCCGGGGAGAAGAAGGGGCGTCCTAGGCAGACGTGAGAAACGACAGAGCGTCGTCACCAGCAAGCTTGAAAACCCGGATCCCATCCTCTTGGAGCCTCTTGGTTTGCCATATTCCTCTGGCTCCCGCTCAAATCCTTGCCGGAAGGGAACGGACCTGCACCGCTTTCTTTCCCTGTTCCTCCCAGAGGCCCGAGGGCGGGCAGAGCGAAAATGCGCACTGTCCTGAGTCAGAACTCTGGCCGGGGGCGGGTCCCGCTGCGGCTGGGGGCGTCGGGGGCGGGCAGCGGGTGGCCAGTGACGCGACGGAGGCCGGGGGCGGCGGGCCGCGAGGTGACGCGCGTGGGGACCGCGCTGGCCCAGCCCACGTGTCCGCGAGATTTAAAAGTTGGCGGCGCGCGGGGAGGTCAGCTTGGCGGCGGAGCCCCGCGAGCAGCGCGCCCGGGACGCAGAGGCACTGCCAGGGCCCCGCGTGGAGTGCTGACCCGCGCAGCTCAGGCTTCGAGCTCCGAGCCGCCAAGCGCCGAGATGCCGCGAGCAGCGAACCGCCGCCCCGGGCCGCCCGCGGGACAGGTGGCCGCCGCGTCCGGGCCCCTGCTGCTGCTGCTGCTCGCCTGTTGCGCGGGCACCTGCCTTGGTAAGCGCGCCCCGCGCCTCCCGGGCTCCCCGCGCCCTCCGCTTCCCGCGCCTTTCCCCTGCCCACTCGCCGCACTCTCTTCCCTCCTTTTCTCGCCTCCACTGTTGGCTGCTGGGACTGTCTTTCCCCTCGTGCGGTGGGGCGCCCTAGCTTCTCGCTTTTGACGACCGGCGCGCGTCTCGGCCACCGGGCAGCCAGGACGCCGGTGCCTGTGGCCCGGCTGGAGCGCGGTCCCCGCTCGTCCGAAATCCCCAGACCCCGGGCAGCCTGCAGTTGGCAGAAATCTGTAGGGCCCCCTAGCCCTGCGGATGTCCATGGCCGGTGAAAACGTAAATAAATTAACACAGTGAAAAATGAAAATGCGTTCCCTTTCATTGCAATAACTAGAGGGATTGATAGCTGAAGCAAAAGTAGAGTTTGATACTTGACCTTCTGATGCCGGGTAAACTTGGAGCGTGCTCATCATCTTTGGTGAGTGAGCTACTGTTGTGTTCAGATAATCCTGAGCAGTGAAACAGGCCCCCTTCTAGCCGTTTAGAAGGGAAAATTAGTGGGGTTTTGTGCCTTCTAGGTTTTGACGCACCAGATCAGGAAAAAGCATAGTGAAAAAAAGTGGCTTAGAAAAAAGAAGTGGGAAAAGCAAAAGCAAAGGCAGGGAGGGATGTCTGAAGCTCGGAAGACAAGGTAGGGCTGAGCCCAGCGTGTTCCAATGGGGAGATCACTTCCCTGTTTCCTAAAAGTTACTGTTTCCAAGTACGTTGATAGATCCGTCCTTTATCTCTCAGCTCCCAGAGTCCCCTCCAGGGCTAGTAAGTATCCTGCAAAACCATGAATTTTCTAACTCTGCAGAAGGTTCTTTTAGCTTCCCTCCGCTCTCCTGTCAGTGAGGTGAAGGTGGGCAGACCATCTCATCATTGTTCATAATATTGGGGACTTGAAACCATAACTGCAGGGACCTTTCAGAGTATACAGGACAGCCCTCAATTAGAGGTGGAGAAACTGAAGCTATTCTTGCTTTCCAATGTATTTATTTTTATTGCTGACCTTTCATTGTTTTGTTTTTTTCCTTTCCTGGGGGCATTGAAGAAGGGGGTAGGGGAGGGGGTTCTCCTGCTTGAAAAACGAGGGCATTTGGCTATGAAATCTAAGCAGTCAGAGGCTAGACCTGAACTTTTTCCATCATCACATAGCCAGCAATGATACAGCATAATTCATGCAAAGTACTGTTAATATTTTTTATTTTTAGAATTAGTAGTAGAATTAGTGGTAGAATTTGGATGGCAATCTTTATCTACTTTATTAGGGAAGCAGATAATTATAGTTTTAAAAGTGTCTTTTTCTCTGTAAAGCAAATGTACTTGCCATGCACGTTGCATGTTATGTGCCTACAGTGATCTTTGCATCAGTTGGAGATAACTGCTTTTTGGGGAGGCAGGGAGTTTTCAGGCTGCTGGTGATTAAGCAGAAACTGTGGAAGGCTGCTTTCTAAAAAAGACAAGTCTTGGGTTTTATTTCCACAAAGAGTGTATCTGCTGTCTGGTCAATCATCCCAAAAATATCCCCAGTATTTCTCAATAGGGACAAGATGCCTTTTTCGCTGTACAGAGACCCCCTACACTACCATTTTGTATCTCTTTTCCCCTTTAACCTGCTCTTGATATTTCAAAATATGATGGAGGGGGGAGAGGGTAAACATAGTGTGATCTTCCATAGTCCCGAGACCCTAAAAATGGCACAGGAGGGGAAGCGTGACGTACATAACCAAAACCGAGAGATAATCTACCAAGATTAATCATTATGCAGAAAACAAGATGATGTATCTAAAAACAACAAAACAGATGTCACAAAGCCAGAGGAAAATAAAATAGTGCCAATAAGTGGAGCATCCTTGGCAAAATGAGTTAGCAGAGCATGCAACAGTAGTGAGAATATAAAGAGCCAGCCACAGATTTGGTGGATGGAAACAGTTCGCTATCCAGAGAACATTATTAAAATCAGGAAGATTTCCTAAAAGGGGGCACATTTTGGATAACTGCATCAAACCTCGATTCAGCCTGTGACTATAAGTGATCAAAGTGCCTGAGACTAAAGAAAAAAGTGGGGGCACCTGGGTGGCTCAGTTAAGCGTTTAACTCTTCCTTTCCACTCAGGTCATGATCTCACGTTTCGTGAGTTCGAGCCCCGCATCGGGCTCCAAGTGACAGTATGGAGCCTGCTTGGGATTCTCTCTCTACTTCTCTCTCTGCCCCTCCCCTGCTAGCTCTCTGTCTCTCTCAAAAATGAATAAATAAACTTACCAAAAAAAAAAAAAAAAGATGTGTTTTTTCCTACTCAGATCCCTACTTATTGAATAATCCTTAAAATTAAGTCAGCAGTAATAATTTCTCACTTCAAAACCCTACGCTAGTTAAGTGCTAGCAGTGAGAAAAGAAAATTAGCACCACTTTTATAATAGAGTCTATTTTTCAGAGAAAGACAAATACTGTATGATCTCACATAGATGTGGAATCTAAAATACAAAACCAAAAAACGCCAACAAAACAAAATCAAACCAAGCATGTGGATACTGAGACCAGATTGGTGGTTCACAGAGATGGGAGGTGGAGATGTGTGAAATGGGTAAAGGGGGTTGAAAGGTACAAACTTCCACTTATAAAATAAGTCATGGGGATGTAATGTACAGCATGGTGACTATATGGCATATTTGAAAGTTGCTAAGAGACTAAGTCTTAAAAGTTCTCATCACAAGAAAAAAAAATTCTACAAGTATATATAGTGATGCATGTTAACTAGACTTATTGTAGTGATCATCTGACAATATATACAAATTTAGGATCATCATGTTGTACACCTGAAACTAATATGATGTTGTATGTCAGTTATACTCCAATAAAAAGGTCTGTTTTTCTTTCTCTTACAGATGCTGTATTTTACAGATGCAAAAGTTGTCTATACATACTATTTGCATTAGTTAGATTGCATAAGACTAAAGGTTTCACTTTACTAGTAGTACTTTAGTATAAATTTCTGAAGGGGTGCTTGAGTGGCTCAGTCAGTTAAGCATCCGACTCTTGATTTCAGCTCAGGTTATGATCTCAGGATTCGTGGGATCAAGCCCCCTATTGGGCTGTGCACAGAGAGCACAGAGCCTACTTGGGGTTCTCTTCCTCTGTCTCTGCCTTTCCCCTGCTTGCACTGTCTCTCAAAATAAACAAACTTTAAAAAAGTATGAATATCCAAAACTGATTGACTGAAAACAGTGCAGTTTTCATGATATAGAAGATAATGGCACTCTTAGTATATTTGAGAAAGTATCTAGTACTGCTATTTGACAATATAAAGCCCACATCTAGGGTATCTTGGGGAGAAAAAAAAAATCACTCAACTTGGGTTAGCAAACACACAAAGGGAAGAAAAATAATTCTCCCTTATGTTTGGGTTTGGTAATAGGGTATTAGTGGATTTCTATAAGTTAAAAACACTTTAAAATTTTGGCTTCTCTAGATTTTTTACCCTGAGACTGTATTTACATGTTTTGCGTAAGAGCCACAAAGTACCCCTTTTTGATTATGTAAGTGCTTGGGACAAAGTTAGATATAATGGCAATTCCTGTGGGACCCATGCAAGCTTGGGGGCACAGAAGTAGGCAAGCTCTCGGTTGCTGGTAAGGCAGTGTGGAGGTGGGAGTTTCCACTTCTGTCGGAGGTTGGGAGACAGGCGTGGAAAGAATATAAAATTGTATTCTTTAAACAGGAACACCGTGTCAAACAGAGAGGAACAGTGGTATAATGAGTGGAGAAATCAGAAGTACCTGCAGGTGACGGCTGAATCTAAAGAGTGAAAATCTCTGTGTTCTTCTCTCGCGTCAAATCCACCCTGCTCTCTCCTTCCATTCCTCTTCCTTTTACCTTCCTCTTATTCAGTCTTGGTAACAGTACATAAGCCGCACATCCCAGTTGCAAGGAAAGGGCTGATGGCCTTTTAGATGGTTTTCATGAGAATATCCATATCTCCCTTTTGGAAATTTTCAGACTTGTTAAAGAGAATCTTAGACCTAAAATGTTTGTTTGAGCTGCTTATTTCTGTTGAATAAAGAGGCATCTTATGTTTCTTTCTACAATGCAATGCTCTATCCCCCTTGGATATTCGGTGTTGTCCATGGACTAGCAGCATCATTGTCACCAGGGAGCTTGCTATAAATGCAGACTCTTGGGCCTGTCCCTGTCTGACTGAATTAGAATCTCATTTAGTAAGATCTCCAGGTGTTGTGTACGAAAAGTAGAGAAGCACAGCTTTCTCCCTTCCTGAAAACAGAATCAGCTCAGAGTAATATACACCAGACAACAGAAACTTTGAGATATACATGTGTGCTAGGGTGAGAGCTATACAGTTGAGAAGCATGTAAGACCATTTGCCCACCTTGAACAGTTGTTCTGTGAAAGGGGATTCAATTAGGTTCTGAGATAAATCAACCATTATGGGCCACATGACCTCTGTAAGTTATTTCTAATGCTTGGTAGCACAGAAAATGTAGCTAAATTTGTACTATTATTTACATTCTAATAAACAGTTAATATTATTAGAATTTAAATAATAGTATACATTTGTATGAACTCAAGGGAAGACTTAACTTCCTGCTATCTTTTTAAAAAATTATTTTCTTTAAGCTTATTTTTTTAAGTATAGTCTTTTACTTACAGGATGTATTGTTGATTTTGTTAAACAAAAATGTATACATTTAAGAAAATGAGTAGTAATTACATTTAATATTAATAGATATTATCTCAAGGGGTGCCTGGGTGGCTCAGTCGGTTAAGCATCCGACTTCAATTCAGGTCATGATCTCAGGGTTCATGAGTTCAACCCCTGCATTGGGCTCTGTGCTGACAGCTCAGAGCCTGGAGCCTGTTTCGGATTCTGTGTCTCCCTCTCTCTCTGCACCTCCCGTGCTGGTGCTGTCTCTGTCTCTCATTAAAAATTTTTTTTGAATAATAAATATTATCTCAGTGTTTTTACAGAGATAATTTACATAGCATGAATTAGATAATTGAATCTATGAAGAAAATATTACCTTAGAGGGTGGAAGCTAATTAACATTTTACTTCAGTAATAATTAAGGGCCTAACAAGTAATTCTTTTTTTTAATATGAAATTTATTGTCAAATTGGCTTCCATACAACACCCACTGCTCATCCCAAAAGGTGCCCTCCTCAATACCCATCACCCATCCTCCCCTCCCTCCCACCCCCCATCAACCCTCAGTTTGTTCTCATTTTTTTTTAAACATTTTTATTTATTTTTGAGAGACATAGAGCATGAGCAGGGTAGGGGCAAAGAGAGAGGGAGACACAGAATCTGAAGCAGGCTCCAGGGTCTGAGCTGTCAGCACAGAGCCTGATGCGGGGCTCGAACCCACAAACTGCAAGATCATAACCTGAGCTGAAGCTGGACACTTAACCAACTGAGCCACCCAGGCACCCCTGTTCTCAGTTTTTAAGAGTCTCTTATGCTTTGGCTCTCTTCCTCTCTAACCTCTTTTTTTCTTTTTCCTTCCCCTCCCCCATGGACTTCTGTTAAGTTTCTCAGGATCCACATAAGAGTGAAAACATATGGTACCTGTCTTTCTCTATATGACTTATTTCACTTAGCATCACACTCTCCAGTTCCATTCACGTTGCTACATTCTTTCTCATTGCCACGTAGTATTCCATTGTGTATATACACCACAATTTCTTTATCCATTTGTCAGTTGATGGACATTTAGGCTCTTTCCATAATTTGGCTATTGTCGAAAGTGCTGCTATAAGCATTGGGATACAAGTGCCCCTATGCATCAGCACTCCTGTATCCTTTGGGTAAATTCCTAGCAGTGCTATTGCTGGGTCACAGGGTAGATCTATTTTTAATTTTTTGAGGAACCTCCACACTGTTTTCCAGAGCAGCTGCACCAGTTTGCATTCCCACAAGTAGTTCTTTTTTAAAAGACCTTCACTGAAATATACTTTATATACCATAAAATTTATGTTTTAAGTGTGCAACTCAGTGGGTTTTAAGTAGATTTCAAGACCTATGCTGCTGTCCCAACAATACAGTTTTCCATGACCCCTCCCAAAAATCTGTTATGTCTTTGCAGTCAATCTCTGTTCTTACCCCTAGCCCCAGGCAGCCACTAATCTTTCTATGATTACAGATTTGCCTTTTCTGGACATTCTATATAAATGGAATCATATATTTGGTCTTTTGCCTCTGGCTTATTTGATTTAGTGTAATATGTCTGAGATTCATCTTTGATGCAGCATGTATCAGTAGTTCATTTCTTTTTAATGCCAAATAGTATTCCATTGTGTGCAGGTACCACATTTTGCTTATCTATTCTCAGAGAATGGGCATTTGGATTGTTTCCACTTGGGGGCTATTATGATAATGCTGCTATGCACATTCATGTACATGTTTTGGTGTAAACATATAAGGAATTCATTCTTAAGAGTAATGTCTTTGAAATGCTGTTTAATAATTATGTATCCTCATACTAAGTCAAATGCTGAAATATCTAGTTGAAATAGGAGGGTAATGATGTATGGCAAAATGAAAAATATCATCCAAAAATGAGTTACATATACATGTTTAATTTTAGAAGAAATATAATAAAAATAACATGCAAGTATAACTTTAATTTCAGGTGCTCCAATATTATCTCAAGGACTACGGCCTGAACAAGAACTACAGCTGTGGAATGAGGTAAAGAATTGTCCTTATACAAATTAGTGGAAACTTTAACCCTCTTTGAAAATATCAAATGAAATAATATAATTGAGTTTTGGGACAACTATGATTTTATTAACATTCTGATATCATAATATTCAGAATTCTTTTGAAGTGAAAAAAGGAAAGATGAAAAAAATGAAACAATTACAGTAAATGACAAAGCAAGATGGCAAAATGAGCCCTAATAATAGAGTAATTACAATAATGTGAATATACTATAATATGCCACTTAAAGACAGAAATTCTCAGATTGAATTTTTTTTTAAAGATCCAGCAATATGCTGTCTATAACAGTCTCACTTAAGATGAAAAACAAAAGAAGGCTAAGCAACAAGTATGGAAAAGGACATACCAAAGAGCCCCGAACACCACGTGGCATAGTTTTATTTTATATATTTTTTACTTCTTTGTCTCCCATATATGGTAACACACAAACATGCAGTCTGATTAAGTGGTCTCATGTTACAGGGTCGTGAGGGATGTTATCACATACATACCTGTATAGCCAGGTTGCCTTGAAGTTTTTTTTTTTTTTCCTTTCCTTAGGGAGGGGACCCTACCATATTCCTCCCTTTGATGCTTGGGCCCCTCTATTTAGGGTCAAAGAGCATCATCTTGGTTTAGAGGTTTATATAGGGCATCCTCCCACATATCTAGTATAGTCCACCTGGGGCCTGCTATTTGATAGCTGCATTGACATTGTTCCAGGTCTCTCAGAGATGAGAGAAGTTACACAAGGGGTGAGGATCTGGCTCAAGGTGAGATGAAAGGTGAAACCCCCAACATTGGGTTTTCCAGACAGTTGAGTTATAAAATCTTTGGCTTAGGCATGTTAAGTTTTTAACAGAGACGACGATGAACTTTTTCCTCAGTAGACAAGACAGTTTTTCCCAATAAATGCACTTTTTTTTTAAAAAAAATTTTTTTTTCAACGTTTATTTATTTATTTTTTTGGGACAGAGAGAGACAGAGCATGAACGGGGGAGGGGCAGAGAGAGAGGGAGACACAGAATCGGAAACAGGCTCCAGGCTCCGAGCCATCAGCCCAGAGCCTGACGCGGGGCTCGAACTCACGGACCGCGAGATCGTGACCTGGCCGAAGTCGGACGCTTAACCAGACTGCGCCACCCAGGTGCCCCAATAAATGCACTTTTGAAGAACCAAACCCCGGTAGTAGGACTGAGGCACTTTGTTTTACTATAAGGTTTGTGGAGATCTAATTTTCTAGTCTCTTCTGGCCATTGTTTTCCCATGTTAGTACCAACGAAGTATCCTATCCACGAAAGGAAGGTGAGTGTTCATAGAAACCTCTCATCACATTTCCAGCCGGCCAGGGCGGCCTTGGCCAATCCTGTGGCAAAGAGTAGAGCACGAATCACAATAATAGTGAGAAACTAGGTGTGACAGTGCATCACAGTAAGGAAACATATAGAAAATAAGGACAGTCTTTTGTTCCACTGCACCGTCGATTCTTCCAGCTTCTGCCATGTGTAGATTAGTCAGCTTCCGGAGTGACTAAAGCAGGGCTGCAGTCTCCCAGAGCCTCTGGAGTTGCAGATTGCTTCTTCCATATGGTCAGCTTGCATGGCATTGATGGATCAGGAATGCACTCCCAGTTTCGAGATTCTGGCTTCACTCTGCTGTAGTGAATCCAGGGACCCACTTTGGCTACCTTTACTGCAGCAGGGGTGGACAAAGTGACAGTGAACGGGTCCCTCCAGAGGGTTTTTAGGGGTTGGACATTTTACTCCTTTATCCATATTGCATCTCCTGGCTTAAAGGGGTGAGCGTCTGTGGTCAGATTCATAGGTAATTGCTCCCTGACCCAGTGGTGTAAGGTAGTTAGGGTAGAGCCAAGGGCCTACATCTGTTGTCTTAGGGTTAGATTGTCTGTCTCATTTAGATCCCCCCTTATGCACTGGAGAATGGGAAGAGGGCACCCATAAAGGATTTTATAAAGGGAGAACCCCCTCTGCTTCTTCAGCCACCCACTTGCAGCTGCCTCCCTGAAGGTCCCTATCTCTCCCTGTCTAATGTTAACCCTTTCCCTATTTATTTCTCCCCTGGAGCAGGGCCTGTAACTGCTTTTAGGGAACAAGATTGATGACCACGCTGGCTTCTTCAAGCTGATAAGGACAGTGTGGGGGTACAGCAGTTAGAGTCTACCCAAGGGTCGGTCGAGTGGCCCACAGTATGGTTTTACAGGAAGGCTGGCAGGCATGAGGCGGCATAAACATTAGCAGATACAAAGAGAAAAACACAAAGTAAAGATTATACTGACCAACAAGATGCCATCTGAAGATCATGTCTACAGTTTCCAAACCTGTCAAATAATCTAGGAGAGACTCTGACTTTGTAAACAATGTATGTCAGGGGATCTCTCATAACCCAGGTGATGGAGAAGCAGGAGCAGTAAGTAATCAATGGTGGCTCTATTTCCAAGAGTTTGGCCCTAACTTAATTAAAAACACTTTTTTTTTTTTAAATCATCTAATGCTTGTGAGGTATTATTTAGAGTTTTGCTGAGTATAAGCAGACAGTTTGTTTTATTTTGAGGTGTAAAATTTTTCTAAGAGTCAGGAGTTTCTCATAGAGAAAGAGTCAAGGCAGCCATTTACCATTATTAATCTGCAATTTTTTAGGTAAGCCAGATCTGGGTATTATTTCATAAAGCAGAATTTGTATTACTTTTTGTGCCTTCTCTGTCTTGTAGGGGAAGACCTTTACCCAGTTGGTAAAAGTATTAACCCATACCAACAAATGTTGGAATTTCTTTGACCTTGGCATGAGTGAAACCTAATTGTCAGTCTTTTCTGGATAGCCTCCAGTTCATTGATTGCCTGAGAATGAAAGTTTGTGGTTGAAAGGATTGTTTCTTCTTTTTTTTTTTTTTTCAACGTTTATTTATTTTTGGGACAGAGAGAGACAGAGCATGAACGGGGGAGGGGCAGAGAGAGAGGGAGACACAGAATCAGAAACAGGCTCCAGGCTCTGAGCCATCAGCCCAGAGCCTGACGCGGGGCTCGAACTCACGGACCGCGAGATCGTGACCTGGCTGAAGTCGGACACTTAACCGACTGCGCCACCCAGGCACCCCGAAAGGATTGTTTCTAAGACATACTTCACAGGCTGATACTACTTGCAGAACGGTCCTTGACAAATTTTTTTTCCAGTAAACATCCTTTGGGCCATTTGGTAAGTTTGGTCCCTCCCTAAATGAAAGGCATGATGCTGTGTTTTAATGACCTTTCAGCTCTGTGTGCTTGATAATAGTAATTTCCCTGCTCTATTTGTAACCATCCCAAGGGCTGGAGACAGTGTCTAAGAGTAAGACCCCAGTTGTTTGTTTGTTTGTTTTGAGGGGTGGGGGGAGAGTAAATGCGATTGAGTCTCCTTTAATAATTGATATAGTGGGCAAACTATTTTCCTGAACCCTGATATCTATAGCCTACAATATCCAGTAATTTTCAAAAACTCACATAATTGTTTATCTGCCCTAGAGTTAGTACCACCATAGTCTCTAATTTAGTTATAATGTCCCTTTCTAGCAAGGGAGTAAGGCTTTCTGGTATTATCAGGAAAGAATGAGAAAAAAATTAGGTTTTCCCACATACATCCCAGGGGCTGAGAGAAAAATTTAGTTAGTTTTCTGGAGATGCCTCTAATTGTCATGCTGCGTTTGGATAGTTGGCCTGGAGTGGAAAGGAGGACAGAAAAGATAGCTCTGGTGTTAAGAAGGAAATCAACCAGTTTTCCTTCTATATTCAGAGTTACCCGAGGTTCTGGGTTTCTGATAGACAGTTGGTTTAGGGGAGCCACCGTGAAGAGCCCCAGGACCTGGTTAGTCAGTCCCTTCCAGGGACACTGTTTATCTGAGCCCTCACAGATAGAGGTCCCCGAGGGCATTCAGATTTCCAGTGATTGTTTCCATACAAGGGGCATGGCTTATGAGGTTTTCATTTTGGTTGTCCCCTCTGAGGATGGTCTCATTTTAGTGCTCTGAACGGCCATATAAATGGCACTTGGTGCCAGGACCTCGGGAAGTCCAGTCTGACATAATGTGTAAGGCCACAACTAAGGCCTCAGATTTCTTTTTTAAGCCTGCTTTTCTGTTTTGTTTGTAATATACCCAACTGGCAACTAGTAAGAGCTCCTCCAGGGTCCCTTCAAGGCTAACAGCCAATTTTCACATTTTTTTTAAATATCTAGGGCTGATTGAGTGACAGATTTGTCCTTTAAAATCATCTCAGCCTTAGAGGTGTCAGGGAGATAGCCATATATTTAATGAGAGCCCCCCTCAATATCTCCAGGAAGGCCATTGGGCTCTCATTTTGTGTTTGTAAAATAGTGGCTAAGTTAGCATAGTTTAAGGGCTAAATCTTAGATTTCCTTACATTTTTTTAAAAAACATCTGTCTCATTAAGAGTCTGATTTCACAAAAGCATTATATCTTTCTAGGTCAACTCAAAAACATATGTAATATTCTGCAAAGCCTTTATATACTTATCCGATCAGAAAATTTATCTACATCTCTTTTTATCTGTCTTACACTTTGTAAAAGTTTTTTCCTTCTGGTATTCTAGCTTCTTGTAAGGGAAACATGCCTGATACATTACAGGGAGGGCCTGGATAAGGTGGGTAGCAGGGAGCAGAATTGTTTTTTGGTGTTTTTTTTTTTTTGGTTTTTTTTTTTTTTTTAATATATAGATTGAGGACCCTAGGAGGAGGAGGTTGAGGTAGGAGACTTCCCTTCCTCCTTCTTTAGGTCTGTTTTGGATACAGGTAAAGGGCCCTTAATTGTTTCCTCTCCTGATTGCTGGACTTTAGAAAGGGCTGCCGTTAAATTAAGATCTGCCTTACATTGTTTACATATATCTTGATTTTTTTTCTTAAGGCCCAAAAACAATGAACATGGGGGAATTCGCCCCATTTCCCTTCACATTTGCAAAACAAGTCCACTTGTAGGGTAGTCT